GCCCCGGCTGTCCCTGGCTTCGGGAGCGGGGGCGTGTGGGGACGCTGCACCCCCGCCTTCCCCATGCTAGTAAGTATGACGGCTTGGTTAGTGGAAGGAGCACGGTTTTCCTCTCCTTTTTGAGTAGAAAGCGACATTAACTTCCTCTGAGCAAAACTCGGCTGTAGTAAAAAATCAGCTGACAGAAAACAAAGGTAACTTGCTTAGCATTAGCTGCAGGCAATTCCATTAATTTTTAATCTCAAAGAGAAGGAGCGGGTTGCATGGCCAGCGTGGCGCTGTCTCCTTACTGCCCCAGCTGGGGTAGCTCTCCGCCATGCTGCGAAGGGGTTGCCTGGCAAGTTCAAGTAACTCCTCGGTAGTCAGCTGAATTTTGGCCCATCCAGAGCTTGCGAATGAGAACGTTGGGCATCGTGACGGGCTGTACAGTTCCCTGTCAGTTAGCAGCAGGCCTGATGGGCAACAACCTGGAGCAGCGAGCACAGTGCACTGGTAACAGCTGAGGGCTGGACAGACAACCAAGAAACAAAGGGTTGCAGATCTAGTAACTATCACTTTGTTCCCTTTTTCTCACAGTACTTCAATGAAATAAGTTGGTAGCATGCACAGAATCTTGAGTGTTCCTTTATGCCTACCTGTTTTGAATTAAAGTGTATTGTAAAAGCTATGAAAACTATCAGGTTTTCCCAGAAAAGTACCTTCTCACCAACCTCATTGTATATAGCCCGTTGTTTTCGTTTTAAAGTTACAGATTTGGTCTCTCTTCATTTAAAGGTAGCTTTCACATTTGTGAGTAAGTTAAGAAGTCTTAGAAAGCTATGTGTGCTGTGCAACTGTAACTTCCCATCACAGATTTTGACATGTACTTTAAGCTATATGCTTGGTACTTTTGGCAAACAATGCTTTCACAGATAAATTTTGGCACTTGATGTCTTCTGCCACATCTTCCTTTATGTACCCATTTCCCGCTCCACTTTGCCTATTGTCATGACCTGTAGCTTACGTTCTGTATTTCATTGATGCAAACAAATACAGTAACGCTTTTTGTCTTCTTGTCTATTTTAGATGTGAGGGTGTGTATGGAAGATTTGCCTTCTAAAATAAAGAATTCTTGGGCTTTTTTCTTAAAAGGGATTTAAAGCCTTTTTATGTAACTCCAAGGTTTGAGAGTATATTAGCATATGGTACTCCCCTGATAAACTTGGAAAAGTTCAAATCTTCAGAAAGCTATGAGGATATTCTAACTTTGGGTAGCTGGCAACAAGTGTTTAATATATCATGGCAAGCACTGGGTTGTTTCAGTTTCTTTACAGATCACGGTATGGGGTATTGTTCTAGCTGTGCTGTATGTTGAACATTGAAAGTCTTCATAATACTTTTCAAATCTGAAAAAAGAAGAAATAATACATCCACACTCTAGGGTACTTCCTCATGCCCTCGCATTTCAAAGTTATCTGTATGAACTTTCAAGATTAGAAGATGCTGTAATAGCAGTAGTGCTCATTATGGTTCTCCTTTTTTTGCATAAACCTGCATGCATTGTTCATACTTAACCATACAGGGAGAAATGTAACTTTTAAGGCCTGCAGATTCTTACTTGAAATGTAAGCGAGTGGTGCTTTCTGTCAGTGACCTTTTGCAGAAAAACTGAGAATAAACAGAATAAACAAAGTGATTTTGTGTTCAGAGGGTTAGTCTGTGACAGTTTGTACAAAAAAAGCGTGTGATTTTACAAGCGATAAATTCCATTCCTTTCTGTTTCCAAGCACTGTGTGGACGATGCAGTCTGAGGTTGTTTACATTCTGTAGTCATCAAGAATCCTAATGCAGATAAACCTGATCCCAGTCTATGTACTTTGCTGCAAAGTCCAGCTGTAACTTCTCTAGCCCAAGTGGAGCGGAGGAGTAACTCCTTGCCTTTTTTCCCCTCACTGGGCAGTCATACTGTTTTACTTCATGCAAGTGTCGGTAGTTTGAAGATGAGATTGAGTGAAACTGGAAATTAAGTTTTGGGCTCTTGCTGTTGCGTTTAATATAGGAAAAAGGCCTGACATCTTTGTCAGATTTTTAAACTTTGCAACTGATACTTTTAACATTCTGAAGTTAACTCTATAAATTCCAGTTTTGATGTGAGTATCATTAGATGTCGTTTGGTTTTCATCCCCTAACTGGAACACAGGGTAGGGTTAGGCTTTCATTTAAGAAAGCTGTCTTTGTTAAATGGCTAAAAAGAGAAAAAATCCTAAGTATAACCAAATACCAATTCTCAACATTTAATCTATTTTCAATTGCTGCCTTTTTTTCCCTGAAGTCATTCTATTAATTTGGTACTTTTCTCGGAGAGCTAGTGTAGACAGGAATTAATTACTTGTATAAAAGAATAGAGTCACAGCATTTAAAAAACTCTCAAACCTTCTTTGTAATTGTAAAAAGAAACAAAAAGTAGTATAAGTCTACAGAAGAGAAAGAGCGGATTTGAAATTAATATCTGAAAAGCCTGTGGTGTAGAACACTGATCTGAAAAGGATTATGTGATGAAAAGGTTGATGAAATACTGTTATTTTTGCATAAGCAAACAAATGTAATGGATCAACATAAAAAGGTTGAATTTAATACAAACCACATGAAGTTGCTGTTAAATGACATCGAATTATTACCAGGTTTTGTTTTAGGAGAGATTAGGTGTCCGTGATAAAGTCTGATTCTAGAAGTCTTCTCAGACATGCACTTAGCCCTTGTCAATACTGGTTGTCTCTGAAGACTGAAGGGTCTTCATTACATCGTTGAAGAATTAAGTCTCCTGTAGCCTGCTTATTAATTGTGCCAACTGAAGGAGCACCACTGCTAAACACATGCGCTGTGAGGCAAGATTCCTTAGCAGCTATTTTAGGGCTGTTAGCTAGTTTTTTACATGTTGAAACTGCTGCAGATGTGTTCATTGGCTGTTGTGGTTGCACCTGAGGAAACATGAACTGCAAGCTTGCAGTTCTAGGTCTTTTGTTTGAAAATGTTCAAAGCCGACTTGAGGTCAGAAAATTCCTTCCTCCTTCAGTCAGACCATTTTCAAATAGTGTATTTTATCAGCATTGTCCTTGTAGCCATTTCTTTTTTTACATGCTAGCCCTGAAATAAGAGCAGGAGGAGATTGTTACTGTCTCTACTGGGGCTTGAATGACTATTCTGAGCAAGTATGTATTGATCTTGTGAAATGAAACCCTTCTGTTTTCTACACAATTCATGTCAGCCCTCCTGTGCAATGGTCTCATTCAGAAAAAGTGCTAGAGGTAACGAGGGGGATATGCTCAGCACCTGTTGGCTGTCCAGAAGCAGCAAGTACGTTATAACATGAACAACATCAACCTTAAGCATCAGTAGCCCGTCTTCTCTAGGATTTAGTAATAAAAGCAGCTGGGAGAGAGGTTGGGGCAGAGATTCCACTCCCCCCTCTGTACATCTTGGCAATATTGATACATAAGTGAAGGCAAAGTGTTTGAGGGAGCGGCATTTCATGTAGCCAAAAAGACTGTGCAGGAATTTGTTTTGGATGCTGAGTTTGTGTGAAAATGGTTATTGGGACGGTCATATGTGGCAAGTGAAAGGGTGAAGCAGATACAGGTAACTGGGATTATGTGCGGGAAGGAAGAGGATCTGTCTATTTCTTGTCCATATTCTGCTGCTGACCTTGGCACCACAGTTTGGTATTTAAAGAAGAGTGCATGAGCAGAAATGAAGGCAAGCAGATGTAATGAGTGCTATTAATGGTAAGGCAGATAAGGATTAAGGGTGGTGTTGGAAGGAACATGCAGAGAGGGAGCGGGAGCTCTAGAGTGGATGTCTTGAAGGCTGTTCAGGGAAACTGAGTTAACTTTACGTGGCAGTGGCAATTGATGTCTCAGTTTCAGAGTGCACCAAGCAAGCAGTGACATGGGAAGCCTTTCAGGTGTCAGTGTGAGAAACACTTGCCTTCCAAAGGTGCAGTTAAAGTGTCTGTATGTCTCTGCCACTGTGTGTATTTCTGGAAAAAAAGTGCTTAACACTTAATGAGCATGGTGGCCTATTCTAACAGAGCTGATGCAGGACAATGGAGGAATCATTGCATACCGGTTCCTTTCCATTTACGTCTGGTTTTGTACTGAGTCGTCAACCCAGAAATGACAGTATGACGCAGTAAGAATGAGTGGACTGGTGATGATACTTACGGAGAGAAAATGTAGGAGCTGAAGATACAGCCATGCTGCCTGAGACACAGTTGTGAAAAATGAGTGTTCCAGAATGATGTATTGTAAAAGAGAGAAGCTTCTTCAGGACTGGGTATGCAAAGACCTAAAGTATACAGGTTGGGAATGTTGAGCTGGGGAGGCATCACAGCACACCTTAGCCTCATGGCTTTAACTACAGCAATATAATTGTGTAGCTAGCTACACAGAGAAATACCCTAACTCCTTGTATAAGCTCTTGTTCCTATGTAAGAACTTTCCACAAAGATCTGGTCTTTTATTCATTAGTATATATGAAACCTGTGTCAATATTGACCTACTTTAAACATGGCTCTTGATGAGTCACTGGTGTTCCAGCTTTGGGAAGAGTTCTCTTTCCAAATATTAATCGACATTTTAGTAGTTAGACTATGACACAGTTGCTTGTGGAAAGCTGTAATTAGCAAAAAATATGACTGTGGTTACAGAAATAATAGTCTCAGTTCAGGATAGCTTAGTTTATTGTTTCACTTCATATATGCTTCATTATTTCATCTTGGTTTTCACAGTGGAAGCTCACAAATACAACAACAATTAAAGGAATCTACCCTTCATTCTCCATGAGTTTTCTCTGCTCTTACATTACTTAATTACACCACTTACCCTTTTTTCACAATAATGTTAGAATATACCAGGGTTTTTTTGCGTTCTGCTACAGAGGGCGTCTCCCACTAATGTAAGGAAGCTTGGAAAAAGCACCACAACTCATACAAGAAAAGATCTGGAGGGTGAGAGTAGCTATCTTATGGAAAAGGTGACACTTTTATATTAGCAGTAGACTAGCATGTTGAAATCTTGCCAGGGTAGTCATTACAGGTATGCACTAAAATCACGAGGACTTGTATTCCATTTCAGTTTTGCAATTAATTCGGGGCCAGGCAGTGTCTGGTGATGTTTGCGAGACAGCAAGGTTCAAATTAGAACATGACGCATGAGCTGTGAAGTAGAGGGAAATACTGATGAAAGCTTTCAGGCTTAAGGCACACACACTGACTAGGAAGTAAAGTAAATGATACCAGTCTTACCTGACCACATAAACTGATGCTGGGATTTTATGTAAGCTCTGTATGAAAAATGCATTAACTGTGTATGGACACAGCTTCAGTATGACTTTTTTGGTCATTTGCCAGAGTTAGCTTCGCTCTCCTGGTTTCATACTATTCACAGCTGTAGATCATTTCACTTCCTGATTGCAACAGGAGTCATTTTAGCCGTGTGTTAGAAACTATTTTATATTGCTTGTCTCCAGCTGTAGGTTAATGCTGTGGGGTAATAAATGTCAGCATTGGCAAGTCATTCTGATTGTTGCCTATGTGCAATGAATGTAAAACAAATGAGTCTAACTAGGGAAGCCTGATAATACTCCTTTTCTTTCAAGTTTTTCCCATGTTTCCAGCTGAAGGATGGTAATGCATAGAAAAGACAGATAAAATGTGAAGTGCATTGGGTGATTCCTGTGTATCCAAATGGGGATTTAACACTCTAAAAACAGCTAAACCCCAAATGTCCTTGTTTCTTTCTTCACGTAAGTGGTGAAAATTAGGTTTCTAAAAATTACATTGTCTCAGCCTAGCAGCAAAGATGTGTTGTGTAATAGCTAAAATTCTTGATAATGCGGAGTCATTATACTTTTTATAAATGAACTGTCCTTCAAATAGATCTAATTCAGCAATGACCTATTCCCAGGCAAGTTATCTGGTGAAGATTCCCAGGTAAAGTATCTGACTGATGGTTTAAAAAAAAAATCTTTAGATAACAACACAGTCATTTAAGACTTGTTTGCTACTGCGCAAGACAAATGTTTTGCAGTCTTCTGCAGCAAGCTCAGTGTTTGGCAAAAATGCATCTGTTCCATCTTCTTTTACTATTTTTCCCCCAGCAATGACTAATCTGTTGCATCAGGGATTTACTGAGTGTATGAATAGATGTGTATACATACTATTTGTAACTATGTTTAAAATGTATGTGTGCGCGTGTGTGTTTTAATATATATATATATGTATGTATATGTATATATTTCTTTTTACATTTTAGAGCTGTGATGGCCAGTCACCCAGCAGAAGTTCAGAGTTTGAAGCTAGATAATGATTCAGTTATAGAAGGAGTAAGTGACCAGGTACTGGTGGCTGTTGTGCTCAGTTTCACTTTCATTGCTGCTCTGGTATATACACTTTTAAGGTGAGAATATGTTGACAGGAATTGATCTACATACTTGCATTTGTAAAATTCTAACTTTCTCAATAAATTTTTGCATTGGTATACAAAATAGCTGTGATTTTGTGATATTAAGGAAATGATTGTTTGATCACTTACTCTGTTTAACTAATTGCTGGGCAGAGTTCATAATTTAATTCACAGGTAGAATGAAATGATGCATTTCTCAAAAGTGAAGTTTAACTCTTCCTTATTTTCAGATGATCAAACTGAATAATGTTCATCATTCCTTAAGACTGAAAATGGCTGAATTCACAGTCTGTATGGCTGTGTCATATCTGGTTACAAAGTACGGATTTGTCAATAATGACTCCACAATTAAGATTGCATATAATCCTCCCACGTATGTTCTAGTTGTAGTCTCCTTCCAAAAAAACCAAACCTGTATAAATTGACTTGTTGTCAATCAAACAACAATCAAAATGATTTGTTTATAAATGAATATGCTGGAAAACAATGGACTTTAATGTGTTTTCCATAAAGCAAAATGTTAAGTTCAGAATTCAATAACTTTAATGGTCAAGTAATTAAAGCTTATTTTCCATTTCAGTTTTTCCTTGTGACCTAAGAAATATTTTAGCCTGTGTGTTTTGGGAAAATAAGTCTCAGTTTCAGACAGGCTTTAAAGAATGTCTGTAAACTTCTGAACATAGAAGAGTTTTAACAACTAAGAGAATTCAATTTTAGTGATGTTTTGGGATTATGGAATTTACTGAGGAGGATTTGTGCGTATGAGAAGTATTAGCGGGGTAGGACATACTTGAGAGCAAGCTACAAAAGAAACCAGAAGGTGGGTAAGCTTGGTTGGACTGCCGGGCTGTGCTGCTGTTCAGGACCAGGAGATAGCAAAGGAATCCGAGAGAAACGTATGCACTTCACCTTGCTCTTCTTTCCAAGGCTGTTTTAGTTATTCAGATGGCTTCAAGAGTGCCTCTTTTCCCTCTGCTCTCTTACGCTTTCTCTACCCCTTATATTGACTATTCAAGCATTTGTGACTTGAATTTTGAGTGTTTTGTTAAAAAGTAAGTATTTTATTTTTGAACTTTATAAAGGAAGATAAGTTAGGAACATGAAAAAAAGTGAGTGGAACAAGGGTCAGCGGTGGCCAAGAGTAGGGGGAGTTCAGTCAGGACTGGAGTTCAGGGAGATGATACATCGATGATGAAGGGTTACTTGGGGAGGGAGAAAAGGGCTTGCCACTAACTACCTCTGCAGTGTAATCAGCTAAGTAAAAAGTTTGTCTGTGAATCCTATTAGATGCCCTGATGGTTTAATTTCTGGAGGGGCAAATAAACTCATACACAAAGCTTCCATACTTGTTTACTTCTGTATTGACTACTGAAAGTCCTATCAGCATCCTCTTAGCTCTCCACTGTGCCTTCTGGTACCTTTTGATATTGTTTCATTCAGCAGCATTTTTCCCCTACCTCCTTTGTATTGTCTCCATCAAAATCTGCACAGTGTGGTAGAAAATCTGTGCAGTACAAAAAGTATAGTAATTCTTATTTATTTAGCATTGAAGGGGCAGTGGGGAAGAAAGGGAGTATTTTCTTTTCCTTCTCTATAGTTATCTTAGGCAATACAGTGCTTGGTGTGTTCCCTGTACAAGATCCGCTAAGGGTTATGGTTGCCGTACTTGTTTCCAGCAGGGAGAAGTCAATGAAGCATCACATCAGGGCATGAGCTGAAGGTCTCTGTGCTTTTGGTGCTTTTTGTGCTTTTTTTTTACTTATTAGCAGTAATTAACGTATATACCAATTCGCAGGTGTTTAGCTCAGTCACTATAAGATACTTCTGCAAAGCCTGTATGTCTTTGTATTATAAATTTTGATAAAATGCAGCCAGATTTTTTCCATCTTTTAAACTTGTGAGTAGGTTGTCACATTACCAATGAGACTGTGAAAATTTAGTTTATCCAATAAATTAATGGGAGCCTGACCCTCCAGTGTTTTGTATCAGAGATTCCCTACTTGACCAGGTGACTTACCTAACCCATGTTTATGAATCTTCAGGTTTAGATCTTTTTCCTCATTTTTCTATCCCATCGTGTGGTTTGATTATAAGATCAAGTCAGCATTTTCATTAATCCCTGGAAATTAACAATGGCCATCGTTGCACAGTGATACACCAGTCCCCATAAAGTACTGTCCCTCACTTTTCCTGTGTGGGACTGCACCCTGAGTGATTAGGCAGCCTTCCTCCTTCTGGTGATGATAATTTGTGGGGCCCTTTGCGGTACCTAGTACCGTCTTTCCACGTCACGGGACTTCTTTCCTCAAGTTATGGAGTGCTAATGCTCAGAAGTGGGGAAATGAAAAGACTCTAACTTTCTTTCTTTCTGGCTTGTGTTTGATAATGCCTTTAGTTACATAGCACCATACTGTTTTTCATTTATTTCATTTATTTCCTCACACTAATTGCATGACAGAAGTTACGAATTGGATATGCCTTGAGCTCTGCCTGTCCCCTCCTGGACACTGCGCAGTGTTCTGATACCTCAGCGTCTTATGTGAGAGATGTTTTATGTAGTGTAACCTCTACAGCTCTGCAAATGCTCTCATGTAATCAACATCGTATCTGATACCAAAGTAAAGTTACATAAATGAAGTATTTGTACAAGGATGATACGCGAACATTGCCTGGGTAACTTTACCATGTCTGCTTTTTTAATCTGTGCATTTAAGATTCTTCTTTGCTTAGTATAGCTTTTCACTAGATAAGACTTTAGCAGCAAATTTACAATTAGTTGTTCGTGAAGGAATCAGAATAAACTGGCTTATAATTCACACCTTCCACTTGTGTGTGGTTTGAATTGAATTTCAATATATAGCAAAGTCCTGGCAAACTGAAGGTGCAATATATGCTTATTTGTAGCATCTAAATAGGAAAATACTTTTCTACGTATAACATGTATGACAGACCACATCCACAAAATCTGACTCGTGGAGACCTAGGGTGGGCAAGAAAGGTTTTGATCTAAGCTTCCCATCATATAACTTTGACATATGTCACCCACATTAGTGTTAAATAAATTTACTTTTTACAGGTAACTGTGTAATTACTAGTATGAAAAATATGGGATTTTTCTGTTCCTCTTTGAATAAAGAATGAAGGAGACAAAATGTTAAAGATAACAGTAATGCAATATTATGATTGCCCACATCAAATGAAGGAAAATATTGCAGAAGCTTCTACAGCGTTTGAGGAAATTATGTAAATAGAACCGCAACCAGAAAACGTCCTAAAAATTAGCCAATCCATCCCTCAGCTGTGACAGAGGATCAGCTTGCCTAGATCATGCCTGGAAGCAGTGCAACCTGGGGTTTTTTATTTAACTTTTAGTCAAAGATAGATCATAATACCCTGAGGTAACCTTTTCTGATTTTGTACATTTAGTGGTTAGAAATGTTTTTCCACCAGCCTTAGATAACTGTGGGAAATAATTGCTCATATTTATAGAATGAAAACCTTATCCTGTCCCCCTTTCTCTCCATGAGCAGCCTTCTGTATGAACTGACATCCCTTCACTCTTTCTCTTATGTTTAAAAAATGTGGGCAGTAGTTCTTACTCTCTTCTGAACTTCCTCCAACTTCTCTATGTGTTTTTATGCATTTAGCCCAAAATGGAAAACAGAATCCAGCTGAGACCTCAACAGTGCTGAGCAGAATGTATCACCAGTGAAATCCATATGAATAAATAAAGCATAAAATTTCACAGTTTTGAATATGATGCTGTTGACTCATATTTATTGTAACTCAAGAGCTCTTAATGTTGTCAGCATCATTTTTAGTTCCAATTCTGTTCCCATTGTGCTTTTGAATTTCAAACTTGTAATATATCCAGCCTGCTTCCTTCGGTGAATCCCTTGCCTATGATTCCCCTTGGCATCTCTAACCTGTAGTTTTCTTGCCTGTAGAGTCTTTCTTTTTAAAGAGTGATTTAAAAAGAGTGATTTCTTTTTATATCCAGTCTGCTGATAGTTACATAAATTCCACATTCTAAATCTAAGAGTTTGCCTACCCCTTCTTATGTAAATGTTATGTCTTCATCTTTCATGTAGCAGATAAAATTGAAATAATTTGGGGGTTTCAACTCCATAACTTAGGTAGTGAGTGAAAAAACCAAGAAATTTACAAGTAAGACCAACAATACAAAACTAGCAGTGGAGACAAGAATTAAGAATATTTCTGCATAATGGATATAAAAGCTTTCAAGCAGCTTGGTTTTTTTGCAGGTTAATGGCTTAGTTTTGTTTTCAGATGAAAATCTAGTTTTAACATGATTTAATGATTGATTATGGAGTCTGTCTGAAAAATCTTAACTACTGTATAGCTTTAAATGTCCAGAGTAACTTTAGGAGCTAGAATAAATGTCCTGTTTCCTTAATTATTTGTGTACTTCCTTTAAAATTGTTTACAGCAGGAAAGAAGGATTTTTTTCCCTTTGTTCAAGTTTCTTTTTTTTTTCCTTCGATCAGTTATTTTTCAGTGTTGGGTCACAGTGTTCAGGTTTTTTTATTGCCTATATTTCCTTTCACAGAAATGAACACCAGAACATACACCCAGAAAATCAAGAGCTAGTGCGAGCTCTTCGTCAGCAGCTTCAAACTGAGCAGGTGCTGTGCTAAGTGTTGGCATCATTCAGCTGTCTGGTTTGGGGTACTGTAGACTGCTCTGAAGTCCTGAAAGAAGCTGGTCTTGAAAGTTATGGAAGCTTACTTATTGTACAGAGCCATCCTTGAAATTTATCAAGTAATGAGATAACATAGGGGGGTTTTATGGATAAATGAAGTAATTAAATACTTAGCTGGTTCTTTTTTCACACGAGTTTTTGCCACAAGGTGGAGTGTGTTAGATTATGTTGTGTGCTTCCTGCAATGTTCCTGGGAATTTAGTGGTAAAGGAAAGGAAATCTGGAGTACAGCTTGCTGCCACAGGACAGGGGTTAGATGTTTAGACTGATAAACTGTGTGTAGCAGAACAATGGTACAGCAACAAGAGCCAGGCAACAAAGATTGAGAGAGAGAGGAACTTTTTGTCAAAGCCTTTAGTTGACAGGAGAAGGTTTAAACTGAAAGAGGTTAAGTTTAGATGGGACTATAAGGAAGAAGTTTTTTACTAGGAAGGTGGTGAGACACTGGGCCGGGTTGTCCAGAGAAGTTGTGTCTGCCCCATCCCTGGAAGAGTTCAAGGTCAGGCTGGACATGGCTTTGAAAAACCTGATCTAGTGACAGATGTCCCTGCCTGTGGCAGGAGGGATTGGAACACATGGCCTTTAGGTTATTCCAACCCAAACCATTCTATGGCTCTACAACTGCATCCAGCTCTGACACGGAGAGGAGAGGTTGGGAGCGTCTAGGCCAGGTTACTGGAAATTGTGGAGTCCCAGTCTGAGTGAAAAGCCATACATTTGGACAGTGTTGAGGAGAGTCTTTCATCATAATGCTTCTTGAAATAATGACAGGTTTTTAACTGCAGTGCAATTTATGTGGAAGACAAATACAGCAAAATGGTGAGGAAAAGTTCTTTCTTTGCTGTCTTTAACTGGATTGAAGCACACGCATAACTGATGAAGGGAAAACAATGGGCTTGTCACAAGAAGAACTTGCTTAGTGAATCAGGTTTTGCGTTTAAGTGTGCTTGATTTTTTTAATTTAAATATATTTCTCTTTCATTTCACATAGTTTTGCATTTGACTGTTTAAATTCTAGTAAATGAACACTGGATTTATTATTATTTTTTTAAACTCAGTACACTTCTATAAAAATCGTATCTCTTATACTTTGCATGTCTCTTCTGTTCCAGCAGGATGCTTCTGCTGGTGATAGACATCGTTTCTATACAGATATGTCCTGTCCAGTCTGTTTGCAACAGGCTACATTTCCTATAGAAACAAACTGTGGACATCTCTTCTGTGGTAAGCAAGAAAAAGCCCAAGCCCCAAAGATAAAATCAGAACAGAAATACAAACTTTTGGCACTAGTACAGTCACCCTAATGCAAAGCTTTCTTTGATTTTAACTGCTTATCTTCTACTCCGCATTAGAAATACTTCTTATATAAATTGTTGAGAAAAAACATTTGTAAATAAACAGTCACTCTGAGAGTGTGCTGCATTTTTTTCTGTGCTATTAGGACTGAAACTGCAGTTAATTTAAAAATGTCAGAGAAAGAAAGTATAATTTATTTCCAGTTAGTAAAATACTGAAGAGGCTGAAAAACACTTGGAAATGGACCATTTAAAAAAACTGGTTTAGAAAGAGTGAAAAATTCTGCTTGGTATTATCTTTATCTCGGAGAGGGTTTTTTTTTTTTTTCTTGGAAGTCCTGAAGAATTATAACTAAGTTCACAATGCTTAAAGTGTTTGCCCCTTATTTTGAGGCCTGGCTATTCAAATTTACATATAGATGCCCTATGTAGCGTTTTGCTTCCTCTGCTTCAGGTTCCCAGTAGGATTCTTTCCCTGCATTCATCTAGTTTTATGGAGTATATAATGCATACCATGCCTAGTCACTTAAAAGAAAAAATTTACAGAGTTGGAAAACAGTTAAAGAACTCAGGTTTTTATATATTCCTTCACATGTTAAAACTTCCATACTAAAACCAGGGGTTTAGGATAAATTTTACATCTCTTGACATTTTTGTCAGTTCTAAATTTTAAACTGGTAACATTTTTATTATTTGCTTCTTCAGTTAATGATTAAAGACATTTTCTATCTTTTCAGAAAATAATGCCTTAAAATTAATGATGTGGTTGAACCTATTCAAGACTTTTCTCATTAATAGCATTGAATTTGAACACGTGGGTTCTTGGTATCTTCAGTGAATGCTGTATACAAAATTACACCAGAAAAGATAGATTTAACCTAACTGCTTATACAAGTCTGTTGTTTTCCTTGATGTGTAACATATTATTTCATGCAATGGGTGTTTCAGCTCACAAGTTTTAATGTGTGTAACTTGCCTTCATCAGGTTCCTGCATTATAGCCTACTGGAGGTATGGCTCATGGCTTGGTGCCATCCGTTGTCCAATCTGCAGACAAACGGTAATATTTTAAGTAATTGTGGACCTGATAGTTTGGTTATCTAGTACAGCTTACCAAAAAGGCACTTACATGTGAACTGCAATAGTGAGACTGACAGAAGAGGAAGTCTGAGAAGCTGAAAGAATATGGATGTGTGAGGCGTAGAACCGCACTGACAACTCAGCCATTTTTCTGTAAAGGACTGTATGGAAACAGAAAATCATATAAGACCTTAACTATGATTCTTCCATGCTTTGTGTTTGGGATGTTATATAACTTCTTTACCAAAACTGGCATCTGAAAGGCCAGGCTGTTGTGGAGGACTGCCAGTAGGCAGTATACTACTGGTTTCTGAGAAGTACCCTCTCCCTTCTCTCCCTGCCAAAAAACTCTATCAATGTCAATTTCTTATTTTGTCCCTATTTTTAGTTTGTATGTATTATTAATTTGAGCTTTGTAGAGCAACCATTAACTTACTTCCTACGCAACTTACTTATATTGTCAGTTTAAAATATGTCCCTGCAACTCATTAACACTTAGGATCTCTGAGTCTGATACCACGTGTTTAAACAGAAGTACATCGTTATTTTAACAGTGCACAGACTACAGAGCTAGTGACTTCTGATGCATTATATAACATGCCCATACATTACATCCTGCTGTGATTGTGTGTATTAGCAGGACAAGTGACTGTAAGAAGACAGAAGAGGGAAAGAAAAATAGGTATGACTAGAGGAAGAATGAAGAGATTTGGAGTGTAGCCAGTGAGGAGAGAGAGACAAAAAATAAAGGCGAGGAAGATGAAAAAGAGGAGGATAAGTGATTTTTTTTAGTGTCTCTCCTTACACAGATATTATTCTACCTTCAGTAGTAGTAACAGGTAAATTGAGTGGTACTGCTTGCATGGTTATGCATTCATTCTCACCCTGTGAAGTAAGAAAAGTGAGGTCTGGTTTATAAATGAGGAATGGAACTATGCACACGTGAACAACGTGAGTCATACAGAAGGTTTGCGTAAGGTAGATATTTAGTGGCCAGGTAGAGAGAGAGCTTTTGAAAGACTGTAGTAATTTAAAGTGCTATACATTTTCTGTTTCCTATGGTAATCTGCATTTTATACCTGAGCATTGCTTCCAAATACAGGTCTTAAGTTTTCAGAAACTCCATACAGAAAGATAACATAAGATATATGTGAATATGACCTTACGTATTTTTCTATGTTTGCATGAAAACTAACCCAAGAACACAGCAGAATTCTCTGTGCTTACAAAAGACCTGAAGGTTAATATCTTTCCCTGTTAACTTACTATTCTGTATTATTCTGGTTGGTCTTGGTATGAACATCCATATGGAAAAGTATGAGTTTTGCTGCACGTTTGCTGAAATGCAAGGCCATTCTAAGGATGGAAGAAGAATGGCCTCACTGGTTGCTTTATTTGATTTTCAGTTTAAGAAATGAAGCTGTTTATTAAGATTAATTCAGTAAATTAACTTTATTTTACAAATCATCTGTCCCACTTCTGAAACATAAAACATTTAGGTGTTTAGAAAGATTTCCTGTAAGCCTCTCTTAGAAAGAGTGTTCTTATGCTTGTTTTTAACAATCTTTTAAAAAATTAATATTCTGTAGAGAGTTGTAAGCAATGAATTTGTTAAAACTTAGCAGCAGTTTCCATGTTAGTAGTTCTCATTTTATTTTTCTACTAAACAATCAACTGAAAGAAAGTTTGTTCTGTGTAGGTAACTGAAGATTACTGCTTTCATTTATAGTTCACAATGCCTGCATTTAAAAGACAGTTGCACGTGTAACAAAATCTCCTTGCTGTGCCTAGGTAACATTGTTTTTACCACTTTTTGGTGAAGATCAGCAGGATGCCACCCAAGTATTACAAGATGTTAATGATTACAATCGGAGATTCTCGGGACAGCCCAGATCTGTAAGTTTTGGGCCAATTTGGGTGGAAGTCAGTGATTTTAGGGAAGACTAACAGCATTTTTTGTGATTTTCTTTTCTTTCCTTCTTCTCTTCCCACCCTGGGGTGTGAATTTTCTTTTCATGATGCTTAGGGACTATGGAAGTTTTCCTTAGGAAATTCATGTTTATATAGTTAGGGCAAACCCATGACCTTGAAAATACTTATTTGTAATTTGTGGAAATGTATGGAGACTAGTATTTTTGTTGTGAGTGAGAACTGCTAATATGCCTTGAGTTCTCTATTCATGTGTTAAGCTCTTTTTAAAATTATGACTTGTTAATTTGAAAGGATAAATAATTAGTCAGTAAAAATACTTAATGGAAGAATATTCACTTGATTGATCTCTTTACGTTGATTAGACAAATCTGAAGTTCTACTCTGTGCCTTTCTTCCTCAGATTTCAAGCTATTGGCTGTCTTGATTTTTTTTATTTTCCTCCTAGATTATCTTACAGTATTTATTCTGCTCTCTGAGTAAAAAAAAAATGTAATTTTTTGACAAATAACTAAGAGAGCTGGTTGAAGTTCTATGAACTTCAGAAAGTCAGCCTTGTGAGGCTGTCTTCTATGTGCATGTTCTGATTCACAAGGAGAAATGCACACACGTGAATACTACTGACTTCCCTGCTTGTCTTCATCTGCTCATTGGATTTGGATATCGCAACAAAATGTTAGCAAGAAAAAGTTACAGTCCAAAGAGACAAGGAGACAAGAGAGGCGTGAGACGGAAATTTTTTTTTTCATGTTCTAAACCACAAAACAGTTACGGTTTTGATCCAGAATAAATTGAAACTATCTTTCAGGCTCCACTGGATTTCTCCGTGGGCTTTGTGTCTAGTCTCCAATAACCTGTCTGAGGTCATGCCAGAATTCTTCATTAAAGCCCTAATTGGGCTAGATAAATTGTCTTTGACTTATACACAGTGTATTGCCTTAACCACATACAAAATTTCTTTCTGAAGAACTTTTTCAGCCTTGGCAATAACTCATTTTAATGTCATGGCTCTGCATAGAAACTGTGTACAGTAGAAAAGGAACCAGTATGAAAACAATTTCAAAGTTCACCCCTCCCTACGCCTCACAACAAAAACCTGAATATTTTCTACTGAGCAGTCCCTCATTAAGATGACAGAATCATAGCAGAAAAATTAAAAAGAAGCCAGGGATGGATTCATTTAAAGGTTCTTTACTTTACTTTGAAGCTTGGTCCGTCCTTTGGAAACTTAGGTGAATGGCTGGTTATATGCCAGGGGACGGGGTCTTGTGTTTCTGAAGAACTACAACCTATATTACTTTACCTGTTGGGATTTTTTTCTCACAATCCCTAGTTGTCTTCCATTCTGATCAATATTTCACTCCAGTTAACCTGTTTGCTGTTTCTCACTTTCTCAGTCATTTGTTTTACTCTAGTAGTCACTGCTTTTCCATCTTAATAGATGCCAAAGTATTTTGTAGCGAGTCAAATGTATGCTTTACAGCATAGAATAACACAGTTTGACTGTTTCTTGAAAATATGTATGTTCTAAATCTGACTTTACCAAGTAAAACTAAATCCAGGAAGTCTTGTCTTACTGTTTTCTTTTTTAATTCTAAAAAGCAGATCCCAAAGTTGTAATATAGAAACTAATAGAAACTTAAGACTAAAAAAAGACCTGTTTAGCATAGGCTAACTTTTGGTTTCTTTCTTCACAGATTATGGAAAGAATTATGGATCTGCCCACTTTATTGCGGCATGCTTTCAGAGAGATGTTTTCTGTTGGGGGCCTCTTCTGGATGTTTCGCATCAGAATATTCCTCTGCTTGCTTGGAGCCTTGCTCTACCTGGTTTCACCTCTGGATTTTCTTCCTGAAGCCCTCTTTGGAATTCTGGGGTTCTTGGATGATTTCTTTGTCATTTTTCTTCTGCTGATATATATCTCTATCATGTACCGAGAAGTGATAACACAGCGGCTGAATAGGTGAAATGGACAAAAATGACCCAAATGCAGAGGCAATGTGGAATGTTTTAAAAAGAGAACTACAACATAAACATGATATATCAAAACGCCTGTGTACAGTTTCAGTAGTTACAATTTCATAGCTGGTCATCTTATACAAATTTGAAGGGTTAGTATGTGGTGATGCTTAACTGGAATCTTTAATTTGTGTATTACATATGCTTCATAAGGATGAGGTTCTTCCATCTGATAAACAGCTGTATGTAATCAAAGCACAAAACACCTTTTCTGGTGTGTGGTTTTTGAAAAAGGAGTTCTAACAAAAAATCTGTTTGGGTAATCTAGACGTGTAAAGAAATTCAGAAATTCTTCACAGTATGGTTATCACAGCGAAATTGTTTAATGTCTCCCTGTTGTGGGCTAGAGTTTTTTAAAATAAAAGTAGCTGTGTGTGTCTCTGTGGAAGAAGAAGCCCAAGGACTGTATTACAATTATCACCGTACAGTTTGCTGTTGTCCATGTGCTTCACAAAAACAAGGAGAACACCTCAGTATTGCTTGAACTGCACTATGTACGGTTGCATGCAATTCGTACAATTTTATTTTTATATTTGGCAATATACACACAGTATCTGATCTATATAGAGAAACCAATATTATGCACACCAGACTGGTGAGTGCTCTATTTTTAAACAGAAGCATGGTTTTTCTCTTCAGGCGTGTTTATTTGGTAGATAGGTATCTTTGAAGCAAAGGTTTTATGCTGCTTTGGGTCAATGCAATGTATCTGAAGTGAGAGTTTGCATTCCTTTAGTTGCATTAAAGCATTTAGCCAGTGGAGAGAACCCTCACGTTTTAGATCGTGGTTGAAGAAAAGAAGTGAGAACTGGATGTTTACACTACAGGACTTTACCTGAATGTACATTCTGCAATACAAGTATTAAACAACTTAGATATTGGGGCGTTTGATTTTCAGTTGGGGTTTTCTTGTTTGGTTGGTTGGTTGATTTGGATGTGAGTAGAGGGGGGGTTACCTTGAATAAGATGTGTGATAAGGGACCACAAAACAATCCTGGAAATGTTTTGAAAAATACCAGGGTATTGGTTATCCTTAAAGTTGTTTGGGTGTTTTTTAAAGTTGAATTTGGATATAGGGTATCATAGCTACAGAAGTAATTTGAAAATATTTTCATTTTAAGAAATTAATGCCACTAGAAAGGTCAAGGATATTTGAGATCTATGTACTTTTTAGCTGGAGGAATGGTAACTGCCGTTTTATTTTAACTTCCTGAGTACTTGAAAGACAGTGATTAGACAGGTGATTCTTTGTGTGTTTACATATATGGGATGAGACTTACAATGAAAGGGACCTTTTCACAACTCCTGTGTTTTGCCCGTGCAGGCGTCTTTCCGCAGCTTCTAGCACCTCGGCATGTGCAGGAAGGTGACAGAGCTGGCACCTGACTTGCCAGTGGTTGGGGTTGGAGGTTGTCCTTCAGTGTCAGTGTTTTAAACAACATTCATTTAAAAGGAAATCCACTGATTTCTTCATTTCAAAATTTGCTTTTGAAAATCCAAAGATGTTTTCCAAGTGAACTGGAAAGCTAAATTTTTCCTTACTGTTGTTTGCTAGAGATGAGCGAGAGGAGAAACAGGAAGTGAAACAAGGGTGAGAGGAGGAGAACAAGACAGAAAATGACATTTTTGGAAGCAAATGCTATTAGTTTTGGCAAACTAACTGGTTATGAGCATCTTAGTTGAGCTTTTCCCTTTGCGTTGGCATCGCTAATGGTGATGGTTTAGTGGCTACCTCAGTTAAAAGTCATTAAGGTATTACTGAGTAAGCGTGGGATATTCATAAACTATTAGGTATATTTACAAAGCAAGACAGTAGTTTAGGATGTCAAGTAAGACAGAATTTTGCAGTTTTGTGCTAAGCATTGTTTTGGTTTTGGTTTTTTTTCCCCCAAGAGATCCAGCTGAGAGCAAACTCCAAAAAAGTATTTTTAACTGAGTAAACTTAACACCCCCTTTTCTCCTGGAGTTTAACTTGTGGGTCTGCTTAGAGAAGAGTGTGAACTGCTGTTGTAGAACACCTGGAGTCTGTCCATAGAATCTGTTGACCTGGTACCTCCTCCATATGTTTATCCTATGATTGTGTTTATACTTTTTCCCATGGCTCTGTAAATCGAGAGTGGATATAGATGTACCTGAAGCTGCTTACTGATTTGTTTTCATTGAGCTCCCCAGTTCCACAGGCTACCGTGAAGTTCATGCAGAAACACCCGTCTAAGGGGTCTGCTGCTGAAGAACAGACCTTCTTGTGTACGTGAAATCACATACAAGCCACATCAGAGTTGCTATATAAAGTTTACCTGTGTTCTGTTTCTTCCTTCACTGCATTTCTGCTAGCCTGAAAGGTTTTGCTCAGAGGCTTCTGCTTACTTTTGAATATCGAGTAATGTTGTAAGCTTAAATTCAGTACATTTAACTGCTTGACAGAATTAGGACCATCCTTCCTTCTCACCAATATGCCTGCTTTTTTTTTGTTTCCTGACTTTTTTTTTTTGGTCCTGCAAGCCACTGATGAAGAGTATTATGACTTGCTCAGGCCTTTTTGTCAACGGCTGTAATGGTGTGAAGATCCATCTGTCCCGCAGCATCTGGCTGCTGCTCCTTTACACAAGTCTGAACTAGACGTAAGTTAAGCTATCTTGGGTACTTAGCTTGGGCTTAACTTAAGCTCCAGAGCTCCCAAGAAGCTGGAGATTAATACATGAGCATGTAGTATTCCTGAACTGTGTGCTGCCAAGTTGTTCTGGCAGCAGTGTTAAAGCTAAGTGCTAGAGCTGAGCACTGGCTTTTAGAGTGTGAAGGAGGCAACGTGATGCTGTGTGGAGAGTGACTGCAAACGCCGCTGCGGTTCTGTCTGCTGGAGTGGGGCAGCCGTGTCTCTAAGCGGGGAAAAGAAAAAAAGGAAAACTTTAGCAGCAAAGAAGAGATACAGGGTAAAAATACAGTTCATAAAAGATTCTTACAGCTTCACCAAAAACTGTGTGAAATATTTGCAATATTAACAAAGGGGAAAACTAAACTTATGCTTAATAGCTCTTACAGAATAACTTGTAGCATCTTGAGGCCTAATGATCATCCTTATGACAAGTGCTGTATAGAGCGATCTGTTTCTCTGTGCGTTTGTGTTCCACACCACTGATGTCTGCGAGAATGAGGTGTGATTTGGGGATACAATTTTGCCATAGGTTTCATAGAACTGTAGCAGTGACCTGTGTGTTACGCTAGATTTTTAAGATAAAGGGATTTAAACCTACTTGTTGTTACTTTTAATGATAATAAATTGCTATTAAAGTAAGAGATTCTCTTGATTTATTTTATTGGCTTTCTGGGCAGGAAATAATAGTTTCATTTCCCCTTTACCCCCTTCCCTGGGCTGAAGTTGGTGGTAGTTTTGGACCAATGCTTATCTTGGTGCCTGTGGGCAGGATGTTCAGAGATAACTCGGTGGTTTTCGTCTTTATTGTTGCCATTATAAGGGCTACAAAATTTCTAAGATCTTTGTCCCAAAACCACCTTGTATGTTAGGTGTCTTTTCCATGAGCAGTCCAACCAGTACCTTCAGATCCACGGGCACTAAGGTTTCAGGATGATAAACCAGAACAGATGATTAATCAGCACCTTCACACACCAATCCTCCAAGCAAACGAAAGCAGGAAGCAGGCGGATGAGAACCCAGTTAGTGAAGTAAGGAGAAGGAAATGGCGAATAGTCTGTGTAGGTTTACAGGAAGGCTGAGGGTTGGGGTGGGGCAGGGAAGGACGGGATGCAACCAGCCTGTCCTGCAGTCCCATGCTCCTCCCAACCTGTGCCACGAAAAGCCCCTGGGCACCAGGAAGACATCATCCGTTCTGCTAAGAAATGTCCAACCAGTCTCAGTGGGGAAGTCCGGGGCCAAGCTGGGCCAAGACTTCTGGACTCCCAGGTGAACTTTGTAGCCTGCTTTGGTACATAGTTCCAGTGTTTATGGAACAACATGTCATTAATGTTTTTGGGAAGAAGCTATTAAATCTGGTTGGAAGGTTGCTGGGTACATGCTTGTCCTTCCATCTGATGCCTCTGTGCTTGCTGTGGGAAGCTCGGCTAAACACTGGAGAGTTCCTCAGGCAAGGCTGCCAGGGCAGATGGCTGCTCTAGAAGGTCTGTTGTACACCCACAGTTGTAGGTAGGTTTTCTGCTTCCAACTGCCAAGCAAACGGGCAACTGCCTGTTAATCACCAGCACCGGAAGCCACGTGGGCATTTGTTCCAAGGAGACATAGCAGTAAGTCTCACTACCCCTGCTTCTTCGAGTGGCAGTGTCCTAGCGGGTCTCCTTCTTCCCTGTGGTGGGTTTGACCTGGGGAAGAAGCTGCTAAACCCCCTTCCATCTATGGTTCCCTTGGCTGAGGGACCTGCAGATGTTTAGGGCAGGAGACAGGGGCTGCAGGTGCTGTTCCCATGTGGCCAGCACATCATTAGACACCGTGGTTAAGTAGAGGTGCTTTCTGTAAACCGGAGATTTCGTTCATTTGGGGAGTGAGAAGTCAATCCTAGTAACAAAATAAATAAATAATGCTGCAAAACAAGGAGGTTAGAGTTGAGTTTCCTATGCTATGACTTGGATGCGGTCTCTCTGTATGCCCCTGCTCTGTATCAGATTGCCTTATGTAAGATGTTTGTCACTTCAGCACCCACGTGAGAGTCTATCATAGATACGTGTCGTTCGTGCCTAGGTAATCTCAGATCTTGCCACGGGTACTTCTACTGCAACTTCCATGGCAAGCATTCGGGCTGCTCTGCTGAGTGGATTAAAAAATCAAAGGGTGTGGTGGAGTGGGGGGGAACAAAAAGGGTCCTCTGAAAGAAAATTCCCAATTGTGCAATCTACTCTTATTGGTACTGTATGGCCCTGTGTGAGGACATCTAGGTATTTTCGTTTATGCTAATGTTAGGTAAAAGGCACAAGAATGATGAAAGCTCTAGAAAATACGTCCAGGAGGAAAGGTTGGAGAGACTGGTATTTTGCCTATAGGGTAGACTGAGGAACACACAAGTCTTTAAACATGTTAAAAGGGGACGCTGTTCTTTGCATTAGGTCTGACTGGAGGAAGTAGCAGTGAACCTGAATTGCAGCAAATATGCCTTAAATTAGAAGAAACCTGCTAAAGTGAATCGGGAGAGGGTATTGTCTGGGGCATTGGTGGAGTCTCTGCTGGGAGGCTTCTGAAGGCAGGCGAACATCCATGGGGACTGGTTTCTGTGCATCTAGTCCTGCAAGGGCAAGGGGCAGATGAACGAAAAGGCGGCTGCTTTCAAGGCAGCTGGTCTGGGCCTTAATTAGATGTGAGACCAGAGAAGTGATGATCTGACCAAGTCTGCCTTGCCGATGGTGTTTCTGACACACGTTACCTGTATGCATCAGCCGGCAGATCTGGCCAGCTTACCTTTCCCCGGGAGTTTTGCTAAATAGCAGTGCTTAAAATCCTGGGGTAACAACGTGGCTCCACCTTATTTCAGGACACCTTAATGATTATTTACAATAATATTCCATTTTATTACAAAAAATCATTGTTTGTCCCATATTTTCCAAGAAGAGGATTATTTCTCATGATTAACAGATGCTTAATTGGTGGGAGGGAAGGAGAGGGGAAAGGAACATAATTGATAATATTGAGTCAATTGCTTATTGCTGGCAGGTAACTGATGGGGAACCATGGGTGTATCAGGTGTTACTAATAGCTTGGCTAGAATATGTTGCACGGAAAGCTGTTCAGCTTCACGCTAGCATATGTTGTGCTTCACAGTTGAGAACCGTTTTCTCCCCCCTCCCCCTTTCTGCCTTCATTCTGGAAACTTACTTCTTTTTTTTACCAAGATGGGGAGGCAGGCAGAACCTGAATATAATCCACTTTTTCCAGGGCAATACAAGCACTCCTGAGTAAATCACCTTTCTCAGGGAGGGGCCTCCCCTCATCCCATGGGACGTGTCCCTGCTCTCCAAAGCGGAAGGTCACACTTTCGGTCTTTCTTGCCTTCTTCACCATCTGGGTGCTGGGAGTTGGTGTTGCCTGATGCCTTTGTGCCTGCCCTCTAAAGAGGGTCATGGTATTCAATTTAATGCGGGTTGGCTCAAAATAACTGTATTACATATACAAAATAACATATAATGCCTTGTCAGTAAGCTGGTTTATGACAGTTTATGGTTTATGTCTTCGTCCCATCTAGAGTCTTCAGCATCCAACCAACCAACCTGAAGCTGCTCCAGTCTCATTTCTGTTTTCCTTGCAGGTTTTTGTTGGTTTGTTCATTCCCCTCCCCCTTTCTTGTTGTGGTGCGTAAGGACCACAGTAAAGATCACAAGGTAAATTTTGATGAATCACTTGCTCATATGCCACAACAGTTCACACCTTGCCCCTGAATATCCCTTCCAGCCCAACCCACTAACTCTCTTGCATCTTATAGGCCATGCATCAGGAAAGAAAGTAGAAATGTGCCCGGTTAAATGGTGAAATTCCTCATGCAGCAACCTGAAGAAGACGGTTCAGTACAGCTCCATGGTCCTGCCTCCTCCGCATGTGAGGAGCTGGGCACCCTGGGTCTTCTGCCTTTCCCCAGGAAGGATGAGGGACCTGAAGTCCAGCAACCTTTTGGCTTATGCCTGTAACTTCCCTCAGCAATGCCTCCTGGCTTGGTAACTCCAAGGGGAGAACGAAGAGCAGAAGCAGCACAGCATCAAAGCAGACCCCCAGTTAAGCAAGGCTGTGTTTGCGCCTGGGAGGCTGGAGAAGAGCCCGTGCACTGAGGAGCTATTGCATACAGTTTCAGTCACGTCTGGAGAGACTGGTTTTCTCCATCACTGAGGTTGTCGGGTACAAGTCCTTTCTTGATGAAAAACAAGGCATTGCTTTGAAAATAATCTCTGTGGTGTTACCCTTTATTTAAATACAGATATTTTGAGCCCTTGGGGTTCTTGTTCTCATGGTTTTGTTCACAGCTCCCACAAGCAAGGATCGTCTC